TTATTTATGACCATGCTTAAAATCACATATAATTAATCTGGGAATAAGGTGAGTTAACAGAATTGCTATTTGATCTGAGGTTTTTTTTAGAGGGGCTAGGGGGGCATAGCTCAAGTGTAAAGCACCTGCCTAGTAAGTGTGAGGCCCTGAGTTCAAACCCCAGTACCTCCACAGAAAAGCATCAGGAACTGAGTTCCTTTAGGGTACAGTCGTTGAACTTATTCACCCAGAACCTGTTATAGTATCTGACATACAGTAGATAGTCAAAAATGGTTGCTTAAGGGCTTTTTTTTAATGATGAGCACTTTCATGAAGAAAGTATAGCAATCACAATCTTCAGTCCCCATCACACTGATAATTACTTGAACCAGAATAGAATTTGGACACACTGATCTCATCAGGGTAAAATTCAGCAGCTAAGCAACTATAAAGACAAAACTTTCACAGCACAGAAATGACTACTAGCAAATATTTAGGTCAAGGATTTTTTAAAAATGGTTCTTCAAAGCCATCCTCAGACACTTGGATGATGCTCACTGTTGAACACCTGAGAAACAAGCAGAGCTTAAAGGCAGATTTCCTGAGGAGTCCACGAGATTGGTACCTCATGGGCTAGCTCTGCAGGAGATGCCCTGTCTGTTTTGTTGACAGGCAGGGATTGTGCCCTGTACAGCAACTAAGTGGAGATGTTCTTTCATCTCATGTGGCTTAAAAAGCAAATTTGGGGAAGTAAAAGTGCTCTAAAAGATGAACTTGTGGCTTTAGGAGATGATGCTCTAAAAGAGATAAGGAAAACTAAATATCCCAAGTGACTTCTGGATCTGAGTGTCTGTGAGAGTATTTCTTACCTCATGTGAATGGCGTTGTCCACTTGGTGGCTAGCTTAATGAAACCTGCTGACACTGCTAACTTTAGGCAACTGGAGCTGTATTTAGGCAAGTCTTAATGACAGTATTAGCATCCGCTGTGGTCAAATGACACACTCCACATTGTCCGGCTGAAGGACCAACTTCCCATGTATAGATCAAAACCAAGAATTTAATGTACCAACAGCATGCAAGAGGAAAACTAATCTCGCATCATAGATTTTCTGTGTGAACATTTTCACAGTAAATATTTGCCTAGTCACTCCGTTTGTTCTCCCTCTTCTATTACCTATTCAGAATTTCTTCCAATGAACTTGTCTCTGAAGTATTCATGATTGCCAGCTATTGAACAACTGCATCACCTTTGGTGATTTGTTAGTGTTAACTTAGACATGGTAAACAGTTTCACTGTATTACTTTCCCACTTAAAATTTTCAATCCTTTCATTTTCATTTTGCATGCTGTTAGCTATCAAACTTCCCACAGCCTTTTTCTAATTGTGAACAAATGCAATGATTTTAAGAGTCATGAGACTCAAAGGTGAATGCATTTTACTCATTGCTGGCTTTATTTTAAGATCTCGATGAGATTTAAGATCTTAGCTTTGAGTTTCATTGGTTTATTTGAAAGTGTTAAAGCAACACAGGATCAGAAGAAGTTGGACAAATACACTTAAATTTGCTATCTCTTAAAGCCTTCCTAGCTGGTAAGGTGAAGTTCTCCACTTGGTTATCAAGACTTGCTTTCTGCCATATTGATTTCTTAGATCTGAAGGTTTAGGTGAGGAAGGAGATTTGGCACTTCACTTTTTCCAAGTACTCACAATTTTCTCCTTTTAATTCAGGTTGCCATCTTCTCCTTCCAGGCTCTGAGATACTTCCTTATGCTCTAAGATACTTTTTCTATCTTTTTCCTTTTTTTTTTTTGGTTCATAACAACTAATGGTCAGCATACCTTTGAACGATTCCCTGTAATATTTGTAACCAGTGCTGGGGTAAAATATATTCAAGTCAACAATTACATACCCATAATTCTGAAGTCCTGAAATCTCTGGGAAAAACAGACTATTTTCATTATTTATTACACAAATTAATTTGGTGACAAACCTGACTTGAACTAGAAGAAGACTATAGTGTGTAATAATCTTATATAGAATCTCTATGCATACATATCACTACAAAAATACTAACATGTTTGATTAAGGATGTTGTTCCAGGCTATGCTGTGGGTGTTACAAAAAACACCATGTAAAAAACCAAACCAAACCAAAATACACCATGTATAACTTTCTAAAATATGCAAAATTATGAATTCCAAAACCTGCTACCAAGAGGTTGGTTTGAGAAGTTTAAGCCCTGAGATATATTCTGAAGGAGGTGTTTTTTTGTTTTTGTTTTTATTTTTTCACTTACTGCCCATTTTAAGCCAAGTCAGAAGGTTTGGGAAGATGACAAAAGCACGGATCCAACTTTAAAAGGACAGGCATAGCAGTTACCTGGCTTGCTTTGTCATGAAGCAAATTTCTTGCTTGCTTTTGAACATCCCTGCTGAACACCCCTCTCCTCTGGCAAGAGTATTACAAATGAAGCCGAGCCTGATTACCAACATATTGCTTTATTTCTTGGTGGTAGTAAATTAAGGCTTTCTAGAGTCATACAGCACGCAGTGATTTGAACATTAGAATTAAAAATAAAAGAAACAATGAGCATTCAATTTAGCAGAGCCAGGAAGTAAGCAATGTTTTAAAACAGACAAATTTCCTTGTGAGGCCTTTTGCTTGGTCTCTAAGAATCTGCTGAGCTGTTTCCCCAGTAACCTCTGTCAGAGATTCATACCCTGAGGTTGGAGCAGAATGGATGAAGATGAGACTGGGAGGAGAATCTGAGAAAGAGTGGGTGCTGGGCAATCAGTGTGAAAAGTTGGCTTGGCCTCATGCTTGGAAGACATTTAGGTGAGGTGGTCAGGTGGTGATGACTAAGATATGCAAAATGCTTTGGGGAGCCATTCTGGATCTTCCTGTTCACTATAAGAGCACTGAGTCAGCTCATTGGAATACCTAAGTGCCCAGGGTTACAGGCAATCCTCCGTGACTCTCAAATCCCGAAAACTTAGAATCACAAGCTTCCTTCTACTTTTTTTATGTCTTTAAACTCTTCACTAAGTACTCTCTCCTGCCAAACAACTCACTTTCCCCCATGGCGTATAGTCTTGACTGCACTTCTGAACTGATGATGATGCTAACAGGACGGGAAGTCATGTTTCATATGATGTATGAAGAAAACCTGAACAGATACCACCTCATCACTCTAATTCCTCCTTCCCTGCATAAGACTACAGCATGCACAGGAGCCTACAGTGGGAATGCAGTTGTCACATGGTGTGTGTAAGCTTTGTCTGAAACAAATTCAGCACGCTTGGCTTGGAAAAAGGTGCTGTGATTGGATGGGGGACCCTCTCAGAAGGAAGTGGTGAGCTGTTTCAACAGTGATGAAGAAGGGATGTGAGTAGAGAATAATTAGGGAAAGGACCTTGGTTTACTAACAAAAGACAATAGATTTCATGCAAATGAACAATGGAATTTCTTCTGGCTATCTGATTTCACATAAATAAGATTAGCAAATTGATTTCTATACAAGTAGGACCAATTCAAAGCCCATCTACTGAGAATTCATATTTTGTATTTTAACATTGTATACTAAGGGCTTGGTTGGTGGACTACCATATGTCTTATCAATGTGCTCCTTCTTATATCTGTCTGGCACTTTTGAGTGAACAGTATTTAAATACCTGCAAGTTTGCTTTGCATTTTTCAACGGAAAACATGTAGACAGCCATGGGGAATGGGGTGGAGAGACACACAAGGTGGCAATTTGCACAATTAAACACTTACAAATGTAGCCCCAATAGGCTTAATGTGATGAAGTCTGGATGTATAAAGAAATAAATAGAGGAGCAAAGTCAAAATTCAATCTGAATGACAAAGAAGCAAAGAGTTTGTCCCTGCCAGATGCAGGACAGATGTGCCTGATGCATGCCACATGTGTACTGAGAGGGATTAGAAAACCTTTGAGGATATGTGTTCCCTTGGGTCTCACTTGTTAATTAAAAATTCTGAGGGTCTTTCCTCCTCCTTGAAAACACTCAGATGATAGGACTTGTATGGGGATCAAGGCTTTATCATGATGAGGCTTTCTCATGCCTCACTAAGATGGTGTGTGTGTGGCGTGGGGGAGGGGGATGCTGAAAGTACTCCTGCTTAAAGATCAGTGTTTCCAGCAAGGCAGGAAATGCAAAATAAACTGGGATGTGGTGGTGCTCAGAGGGGTGCCCTTTGTGCACTGGCTTTGGGACTGCAGGACCTCCTGAAATCACAGAATCAGTTCTCCTGGAAGAAGTGAATGCCTGTGCATTCTATGTTGAGGTTTTTCTGCTTATTGTTATCTCTGTTCTTTCAATTTTAAATGGCCATGAAATTAATCCTCAATTCAGGCTGGGAAGCTGAAGCCCAGAGAAGTGAAGAACTTTGGCCAAGGTCACACAGCTGGTTAGTGGCAGAGCTAGGTGGAAAAGGCAGATCTCTTGTTTCCACCATACTGCTTGCCATAATGGATTTTTACAGAAAAGGATTTGGAAAGCTTGTGCCATGACATTTATTTAACCACACTTTGGTTGGCGTGAGGTTAAAGAGTGGGGCTTAGGCCAATCAAGCAGTTTAAAGAGAAGTGTTAGCATTTTTACTTTGATGCTTTTTGTTGTTGCTGTTGTTGGAGGGGAAAAGACAGGAAGAGAGGGGCGGAGAATTTGGGGGGTGTGGCCTATGTTCTGGAGAAGGAAAGTAAGGTGCATTTCTTAAGACACTGCAAATCAGCCTACTGAGGTACATCTTTTGTGAAAAGAGAAACTGCCTACAAATGATGTGACCCAAAACACCGTTTGCTGAATACAAATTTGTTTTCGCCTCATTTCTTTGACCTCTGTTGCTCATGAGAAATGAGAAAAATAAAAAAGCCAGATTTTTAAAAAACTTCCTGGAAGAAAATAGCTGCTTATGTGTGGGTGTCGTTGCTTACATATGCTGCTTTTTTTTTTTTTTTTTTTTAACCAACAACAAAACATTTTGTTTGGTTCGTGTTTGTCTGAGAACACTCCAGATGGAAGTTGCCCCTTCAGAAGAAGGCAGGGTTGGTGTGCTCGATGACGCAGCGTTTGCAGTGGCGTTTCACAAACCGCAGGGCCTCCACGGAAACCTCGCAGTCCTGGACATTGAGCATCTGGAGGTCAAAGCAGTTGGCGGCCACGATCTGCAGGCCCTGGCCGGTGATGCTCTCGCAGGACTTGAGGCTCAGCCTCTTGAGATTGAAGCAGTTTAGGGCTAGGCATTCCAGGCCTGTATCGGAGACCAAAGGGCATTTGCCGATGTCCAGAGACTTGAGTTTGGTGCAGTTCTTGGCGAGGTACTCAACGCCGTGGTCCGTGATGCCCTCGCAGCCCCTCGCGTTGAGGTAGCGCAGCTTGCTGCAGTACTTGGCGATGTAGCGGATGCCCACGTCGGTGACACGGCTGCAGTGGGCGATGCTGAGGTACCGCAGGCGGGACTCCAGCTTGGCGATCTCCCGCAGGCCGAAGTCGCTGACAAAGCGGCAGTCGCTGACGCTCAGCTCCTTGATGGACGCGCAGTAGATCACCAGGTAGCGGAGACCCTCGTCCGTGAGGCGCACGCAGCGCCGCAGGTACAGGTGGGTGAGCTGCGTGCAGTGCGCTGCGATGGTGTGCAGGCCCTCGTCCTCCAGCACGAAGCAGTCCGTCATGTCCAGGTAGCGGATGGAAATCTGTTTGCCATGCAAGGGGGACAGTTTAATGGAGGCCTCCCGGGTCAAGCTGATGCAGGTCACTTTGGAGCACCCTACATAAAGAAGACAGAACACATGTTCAGAGCAACCCATCCGAACTGGAGCTTGTTCCTAACTTTTGCCCAAGCCCAGCCCCGAGGCTGCCTGTGTTGTCCCTTACAGGGAAAAAAGCAAGAAAGGGTTCCCTATGATCACTTGATTATTTGGCTATTTTGATTATTTGGATTTCAGGGGATTCACTGACTTTAGAATCAGACCAATTCGATTGGTCAGAATTGATCAAGATCAGTTCTTGAAACACTGCTAGTTGCCTGATGTGGGATACACCATTCTTTCGTCTTAAAATGGGATAATCACATTCCCTACGAGGCAGCTGTGAAGAAGCAATGAGACAATGTGGAAAATGTGGAACAATGTGGACCCTGGAAAGTTCAGAAGTCCACAAAATGGTCTGGTAGCTCAAAAATTACATATAATTCTGAAACATCCATTGTACATTTCAGTTCAGTAAATGTAACACTGCAAAGACGTACAAAACAAGTTCATAGTACATGAATATAAACAGCTAATATTCAGTCAATATATTACATAAATATATATGCATTTCATTCCTCTACATTATATATATATATATATATATATATTTTTTTTTTTTCTCATTTTCTCTCTGTTCTTCTCAAATCCCTGTGGCAGGTCTACAGCCAGATGCCTCACTTCAGATACCTCTGTGCCTTGGCTGTTCCGTGCAACATCCCAGGCTTCTGAACAGCTGCACAACGTGATGCTGGGGACTTTTTCCTGCCCCCCTGGCAGGTTTCCCAGGAAATTATGATAAAACACAGGTCCTGGGAATATCAGGGTTCGAATGTCATGTGCTACCAACTCAAGAATTTCAGGAAGAAGGGAAGCCTACAGACATGGCTCGCCAGAGGCTAGGCATGTTGCTCCAGGGGACTTCTGGTTTTGTGGGAGGTGGTTAGTCCCCCAACAACTTTAGCTCTTGAAATCTTTCTTTGATTTGAGTTTCCTTCTTTGGTATGACTGTAATCCTGCATATGGTGACTTTATCTGTCACCTGTGATGTCAATGAAGGCATTGTTTTACTCAGACCATATGATAACCTTTATTCCTACACTTGATTCTAGTTTCCTTTTTTAAAAAAAAAATATCTAGCAAAGTCTGTTGCACTCCAGGAAGAATACAGTATTTAGTTCAGGAAAATAAATACCTGTTTTGAAAAAACGAGTTCCAAATTTAATGAAACATTCGTTTAATACAGTTGTAGTAAACTATTTTGATTTGTATGTACCATTTTATTTCAATCATTTTCAATGCTAAGGTTAGGTTAGCTCTAATTCTTATAGATTTGTTGAGTTTGGATTGAAAAGAAAATAAATTAGTTCATGGCTCAGTGGGTAATACTTATGGGTAGTTCATGCATTCATTTATTATAGACACGGAGCACCATAGAAATCATTCAATTTAAGTTTATTTTTAAAAGATAAGGCCTCTGAGGCTCAGGAAGATAGTGTATCTTGTATGCCCAGACTAGGGTAATTTTCTTGACTGCTGATTCAAAGCTTCAATTGTAAGAGAAGAGGTAAGAAATGGCTACAATGTGTCATAGAACAGATGCTTTGCACAAGGGATCTGCATCAGAGGAGTCAGCATGAGACAAACATTTGGACACTGGAGAATGGTGTCTTCAAAGTGGTGATATCTAAGGGATCTTTAAATAGAGAAGAAAATGATCTGGATATATATGTATGGAGTCCTATTAGTGAAATAAAAGCAAGACAAATAAGAGACACAAGAAAGTGTGGAGTAAGTCCCTGGGGGACTGAGGAGGATTTACAGGGTGTCTGAAAGGATTTAATGAGAATTAAGACAGGAATGGTTGGGTGGGACCATAACATGGGGGGCTGTCTTAATATTCAAAGTAAGGTAGATGGATATTATTCCATATGAAATGGAATGGATGTGTTGAACAAGTCTGTAGGGATTCTTTAATTAACTTCAGACTTCATTCGGCTTTCACAAATTTGCTCTTCATTACCATTTCCTCTCATTATTGGGGTAACATCTCTACTTTCTCTGGAATGTAAGATGGCCAAATCAGTGAAGATTAACTACTGATTTCTAAGCATATTAGCAACAATTAACCATAGAACAATGGTAACAGCTGTGATCTATTGAGGGCTTGCTAAATGGTTCTCAGCAGAGAAGCATTCTCAGCATGTGAGGACTGACCATGACTATCTCTTTTAATCCTAAACCACCTCATTTTTATTGATCAGGAAATTTTGACTCTACAACTCTACAACTTCCTAAATGCAGCTTAGAGTATTAGCCAATGGAAACTTGCAACTTTTTAGAGGTCAAGATGACCCTTTAGGGCTTTGACACTACTCTGTTCATTTAATTACAATGTCCTAATGTATAAATATTTAGAGCTTGTAATGAGCTAACAAAAAGGGACCTGTGAATATATAAGGATGGATTGCAAATCTCAATGATGCTCTCCTTGCTTAGGCTCAAAGGCAGCCACCCACAAGAAAACACTCAGTGCTCTGTACCCAGGTGAAGCTTGGTATTAACATGAGTGATGAGATGAGAAGTCTATTAAGAAAGTTGTTGAAGAGGGGGTGGGACAGAGGAGTGACCTGCATGCAACCCAAAGAGGTAGCCACACATCACTACATGCACAAACAGGATGTGTTTTGGGACATAAAGATGGTTCCATGGAGTACATAGTTCCAGTGTACTTAGGAAGGACTCTTCATTTAGAGCCTTATATGCTCTACTGAGGGACTTGAATTATTCCTGAAAGTCACAGATGGAGAGCAATTGGAGATTTTGTGCAGAAAAGTGAAGGTTATACCTGTAGCTTGAAAACTTTCTTCCAGAGGTTGACTATGTAGAGGGTGGGTTGAGGGGTTGAGATGGGTGTAAAGTAAAGGGTACCTCCATGAAGGCAGGTAGAGGAGAGGGGATGGACTCAAGGCACTGAGAAATTAGGATCACACGCACAGGATTCCACTGACCAGATAGTAAAGATTACAGAGAGAGAAAAGGGTCTTTTGTTGGAGAGAACCTTTTGAAGCAACTTTATTTGCAATAGATACAACATTTTTATTTTGAAATTTGGTTGATTTTAATGTATTCCACTGACATGTAAAGATACCACTAAAAGGTAATATGTGATAATGATCAGACACTACTGTGTCTTAAAATTTTTTGTGATTTGAAATAGTAACTTTCAGCATGGGCATTTTCTGCCTTGTTAGGGATGAGGCAGGAATTCTTATGTTTTCTAGATGATTTAAACTCTAGAATAGTGATGAAACTTCCAAAGTTGGAGTTTATTGCCATGGAAAAGATAGCTACTATTCAAGGCCAACTACAGAAGCCAAGGAGTACAGGGTATGAAGTTAACCTGGGCAGCACTCTGGCCTCTCTCTGCATCAACCTATTTCCAAATTTCCCCAGAACTGGAGGGGATTCGTAGGAGGTGCTGATGACAAATCTACCCTTTGAGTCTGTACAGTCTTTCAAGTCCATCTACCTGAAATTCCTCCCGATATCTGGTATTATGTGTTCTGTACTTGGCAATCCACAGTTCCCACTTGATTTAGACTGTACATTTATAGATCACTGGGCTCACTGAAAGACATGTCAGGAAGCTGCATAAATATATTTGAACCTGCAAACTAGTTAGGTTGAGGTAGAAGATAGATATCTACCTCAGACTTAGTGATGGTTAGTCAAGAAGTAGAACATTATCATTCAGACTAGAAACCCAAGCATTTCCATTCCGAAATGATCAAAGTGGTTTCAGCATCTAGAATTTCAAAAGGACCCCAAAAGAAAAACCACAATTACTCACAGTCTGTGTGAAGGATGCATGGGAAGCCCCTTTAACAAAGATGGGGATTCCAAAAATGAATAATTTTCTAGTCTGAGAAAATAAAATGAGATATATATAAAATGCTAAAGACCAAGTTCTTCAACTAAAGAGCAAAAACATCTAGAAAAAGCTGTATGAGTGAGCTCTTCCAAATCACAAATGTTTGAAGTTAGTTACCACATTGCAGTGGTTTCTCTTTCCAGAATTCCTTGGAGGAAAAATGTAAGAAAACCCCCTTGTTTCCTGCATCTTTATGCCAATGGCTGCTCATGACTAACACAACATAAAGTTACTATGGTTTTGTCCTGAAGCCAGCTGAAGTAGACGGATCAGAAGGGAGAGAATCTGAAAAAAATAATGGACTGTCAGATGTTGGCTTTTGAAGGAGAGAGCAAGCTGAGAGCTGGATTTACCTCAGATTTTGTTGGAGGGCATCATTTACCTCAGATGCTTGTAAACCCCAAATTCTATTTATTTGCCCAGCACGTGATTTTTTACTTCTTGCTGCCCAACCAACCATTCCTGAGGTGGTGGCTCATGCCGTCCATTTCTTTTAACTCCCTGATGCAACTCACACATTTCAGCCTTTCCAATGTTCATCTTTTGACTGTGCAGCAGATGAGATAAACAAAGGCTGTTAGTCAGGCTGGATCTCTGTCTGGCGCCAAAGTTTGACTCTGGGCTTTAATTCTTCCTGCCTGAGAGAAATTTTCAAGCAAATCAGCCATGCTGGGGATTTCCTTCCATTTTTAAAAAACTGAAGGTTCAATTGTTCTTGCACTATGTAATTGAGAACATTGCTTTAAAAAAATGTAAAAAATTAACCCAGAGATGAGGAGAGTGGGGGTAAAATATAAGGAGCTACTTCACTATGATGGATATTCCCAAAATCTATGAAATGGCAGGCAAGCCAATGTCAGCCCAGCCCACAGCTGAGTGTTTCATCCCCCACAGTGACACAACCAGGTTGCAAGTGCAGAAGAAACATGTAGGGTCATTGCTAAAACACAGGAATAACTCTCAGGCTCTATGGACCAATAATAAGTGGACAAAAGAGGAGCTTTTAAACTATGTTTGAGTTAACTATGTTTGGTTCCTCTTATTTATCTAAATTAGATATTTCTATTATCCACATTTTTCTGAAATAACTGAGTATTCTGGAAAAAAAGGACACATTTAGTTCACACAGACTTGAACTAACAGGTACCAAGTGCTATAGCTCCTCTAAGAAGCAGATATAAGGATTTGATGCAAGGGCTGCTTCTGATCTCCAGCCTCACACAGGATTCCAGAGACACAGTTTGTCTGGAAGAGCTGGCCTCCTTACCACCCACTGCCCATCTGTGCTGTAAGGAGACCCCTCCAGGAGTGGCAGTATCACTTTGGAGTGATGATCTGGGTAAGCCCTAGCCGGGAAGTGAGCTTTCATTTACCTGACACGTCCAGGTGCTCCAAGTTGGGACAGAGGGACACCACGTCAAAGACGGCCTCGTTGGAGATATTGTAACAGCCTGAGACTTCCAGGCGCCTCAGTTCAGGGCAGCACTGGGCAATGGTGTAAAGCCCTCGGTCTGTGAGCCGCCGGCAGCCACTGACAATGACAGTTTCTAGCATGAGACAGACATTGGGGGTGTCCTGGCAAAGCCTGCGGGTCAGCACCTTGAGGGCACGGTCCACGTTGATGGTCTCGCCGGTCAGGCGGATAGTCCTCCAGAGGCGCGGGTCCCAGGCCAGGTTGTACCAGCGGCGACACACGCGTGCACAGCGGCACAGCTGGTTGGTGGGCAGGAAGGAGAAGATGTGCACCATGGCGTGGTCTGGGAGCCGGTCTATGCTGGCCTGCTCTTTCTGGGGTCTGGAGGCGAGCCGGATGAGCGGGTGCGTGAGGCGGGTTGGGGGCGGGGAGTGGACCATGGCCACCGTCTCTCCGGTGATGGAGGATGAGGAGGTGGACGAGCCCCTTCCATTCTGAAATCCCGGCAAAGTCGGTGGGCATATCAAGGCTGGGCTGGGCGTGCTCAGTGTACGCATGCTCAGGTCGGAGTCTGGCAAAGGAGAGAGAACAAAGCATTAAGGATGACCGCCTCCGCAGAGCCCTGGGAAGGAAGGAAAAGCACACTCATGGAGGGTAACACACACATTCCACAGGCATTCTTCACTCGTGGCCATCTTCCCAGGCAGTGTCACCCACCTCAAGAAGCTGCTAATCCTCCACAGTCTACATGGGGATGAGCAAACTAAAAGGTACATTTTAAGGTTGTGGAGGCAGAGGTTGTGGGGGCTCTACCTTCCTTGCAGTGACTCAACTCTGCCACTGTTGTGCAAAATCTGCCATTAACAATATGGAAATGAATGGGTGTGGCTATTCTAACGAAACTTGTTTTATGAAAGCAGACCAGCTGGACAGGCCTGCGTCCACATGACAAATCCTCTTTGGCCGTGGTTTGCTGATCTCCCATCTACATTAATGGTGATCATCAAAAAGGCACAACTTCAAGTTTCATTGTTTCTGTTCTGGGAAGAAACCTCATGTATTAGGTACAAAAACTGATTTACTTTCTTAACAGATTTTGGTTAGGTGCACAAGTATGTTACATTTACAAGTGAGGGGAATATGTTTCAGAAAAGAAGACTAGTGTCCAGTGCAGAAAACATCTCCTGTGTCTGTACTCACCTCACTTGCATAGGCATCCTGACCCGCTTCTTTTGATGAGTTCCCCAGACTGAGGGAGCTATCCCATCTCCTTGCTAGAACAGGTACCTCAGACGGTATGTTCAGCCCTTGAAGATTTGGGAAACTACCATATTTCCTCCTTATTAAGATTCTCCTGTTTGCATAGGAACAATGTGAGTCATACTTTGTTCTTTGAAGTCAGAAAGATGGCTTGGTGAAGGCACAAGTGCTTTCTAAGATTTTGAAGGATTTTAGGAATTATTTGGAATACCTCTTGGGGAGCAAGCTCATTTCCCCTCTCTCTCTCAGTATATATAAGAAAGAACTTAGTCTCTTATAATATACATTATAGATAGGTTATTTAGGAAGAAATTTATTTACTCTCAATAAATATGGAATTATTTTCCATAAATATGTATTTAATAATTTATATTATACACACATATGTATGTTTATATATGCATCTATTTGTGGATATATGTTTGTGTGTGCATACATATATACATATATATGTATATATATAAGTAGAAGATACAAATTTACCTATGTATAAAGTAAGTGATTGGGCTAGTTAATTTCTAAGTCATTTCCTTTATACCTCTAAAGACTCAGGCAAAAAAATCTATTCTTGTGTGTTTTTCCATATTTCATACCCTGGAATTGAATACTCATACCATCTTTCCAAAGATGTCAGAGGAAAGGCATCTGTGCAGTTGACTTTGTCCTTGAAGTCTATTATCACCATGAGCTAGCCCCTTGCTGTCAGAGAAGGAGAGATCCATGGGGCAAACACAACTGGCCCCAACCTAGTTCAGAGCCAAGTCAGTCTAACCATATTAATTCAAACAACACCCAAATGAATCACACACAGACACACCATGTAGGATAACTAACTCTTTTCAACCACTGAGTTTGAAGGTAATTTACACAACAGTAAAATCTAAAATACCAAAAACTCTTCTGAGAAGAGGAAATTAAGTCCTTTTCTTTTTTGTGTCCTGGTGACATGCTGGCATGGTTTATGGTAAATAGTAGGTACGCAATAGTTGTCTTAAATTGAATGAATGTAATTCTGTGCTTAAAATAATTTTGGCTTGGTATGTACTTTTCTATCCCAGGTGGTACACATGTTGTATCATAAAACATTCATAACAAAAGAAATACATATTTCTTTCTTTTGTAATCAGTGACAGCGAGTAGTAAATCTTTGATGAGAACCTTAAATATAAACTAATATGGATTTCAAAAAACCTCAATCCAAGCTACCATGATACCAACCTGCAACAACATATATACTCAGATGTCTTTGAAGCCAGTGTTTTTCTTAGGCAGGTGAACAATTTATTTTGGGGCAGGAACGAAAGAAAATCTTAGGCTCTCATCTCTGATGTTTAATCAGCTGTGAAGGCTCTGAAATCTTTCTCCTGCCTGGCTTGGTTCCATTCATCCTGAAGGCACTTAATAGTGCTGTGTGGAGGCCTGCACAGAGTAAGTTCCCTGAGGCAGAAACACACTTACTGAGTGCGCACGCACTTGTGTGGGTAGTAATGTCTACAACCTGCATCTTTACCTGATTCACTTTTCTTCACTCTTTCGCACTTCAACATTGAGGTGGTAATGTAGATCCATCCATATCACTTAGCACAAATGTGCCTTTTGTAATGAATTTAGTTTTTTTCTATTTCTTTGCCAATAACCTTACCCAAGCACTAAAGGAATCCACACAGGAAGTGATGGAGCCTCCAATATGGGAGGAACATTCTGCCCTGGGTGTGGAGGGATAACTCAGGAACATCCTGATGGTTCTTTCTGCTTTCTCACATAAGAATCAGCAGCAGGATCCTCAACAGGAATCCCAGGCTGCTCCCCCTTGCTCACAAAGTGGGAAAGGAGCCTGGGAGATTTCTGCCAGGAAAGCTGATGCCTCTCTAATCAGAACACATGACAAGATTCTCTGGGCTGGTTCCTTTCTGCTTGTTCTACAGTAGGTAGAGACCCTCAGAGAACTTTTGGCTTTCCAATTTGTCATCATTGAAGAAATAGCACCTGATAATTAAAAAATAATAATTTGATGAGCATAAACTAGATCTATACATACTAGAAGTTGTCACAAAATACCTTTTCTTGATATTTCCCCATATGTAAAATTTTTTTACAAATTTAAAAAATATGTGTATTCATATGCAGATATGTATACAAGTATTTTAATGTGTAAGTACATCTTATTATAAATAAAAGCTAGTCAATGTGTAAAGAGGCCATTTAATATCATTAGATGTGATTTATAAAAACAGAAGAAAAGTTTCATATAGAACTATTGAGACTACCAGAAAGTGACTATATACCAGGACAATAGATAATGGCTTCAAACTCAAACCACCTACCAAAGTCATTCCATCTTTGTAGTATGTTTCACTTGTACCAAAGAATACAGAAAGACTGCATCCACTCTTTATAGTTTTTTCCTACCCCTTATCCTTTTCAGGAGACTCGCAGCTAAATGGACTTTGGGAATACTTGTCAATTTTTTTGATAGCTTAGAAGCAGGACTTCAATGCCCATACCAAGCACTCAGAGGGGAGATGACTGAAGAGAGTGCTAAGATGACAGAGGAAGAAGAAAGTCACAATCCTCCTCCTGTTCTTATGACACTGTGACACAAACCAGCAGAAAAAGAGCTGACTGTATTTGAACTTAGGATGTTTTGTAGGTGTCAACAAATGTTTATACTTAAATATATATTAAGTGAATTTCTATCTATCTTCTGCCTTGGAGGAAGATCACATTTGATCTTAGCAGGAAAGAGATATGCATTGGGTTAAAACACAGTTTAGCAGTATCTGTAAGAAGATACTGTTGGGGCCAGCTTGGCTATTTTCCTGGGAGTTATTATGTCTGGTATTCACCTTGGTTTCCCCACTGAGTCTACAAGCAGCTTTCTACTAGCTCTGCAAAGTCATAAGCTTCCAGTTAGCTCTGCAGTGTTTCCTATAACTGTGACCACATTCTGTAGGGGGTTGGGGGACAAACTCCGTAAGTATTTAACCAAGTTTCTGACACAGACTGGGGCTGAGGGCTTTGAGAAATTACCTCCCCTGAGTCCACTAGTGTAATAAACTCTCTGCTTCCTGTGAAAAGTCTCAGTAACTTTGTTTCCCTCACTGTTTCCCACAACAATATTCCTAATTTTTAACATACTGAACATTTTCGTGTGCATCACGAAATATGACTAGCCATCATATCTTTCTTTACCTTTCTCTTCAGCAGGATATATATTCATGATGGTATATGGAAGAATTCCATACTGCTAGATATTGTTTTGAATAGGGAAAATGGGATATTCAAAAAGTGTTGAATAAAATATACATGACCAAAAGCTTCTGTCAAGAATTTAATTAATTGCTACCTACAAGGGTCCTTAAAAAAGTCTTGTATGTACAAAAGGCTTATTTTATTTGAAGAAAAGATGCCACCTGAGCTATCAGGGAAAGGAATGCCCAAACTCTTAAGAGAGTGGTATGTTCTCATAACATATTTCAAAATTCCAGAATGTATATAAGGAAGGCAGCTTGTAAAAATCCACCTCACAGTCAGTGTTTTGGTCAAGAACGGACTGCATATGTGATAGTGGACCCATAAAATTATGTGGCCTACTGACAGTCGCCACCTCAGTTTGTATAAGTTCACTCCATGATGTTCTCACAGTAATGAAATCATGCAGTGATGCCTTTCTCAGAAAGCAGCTCTGCCGTCACACAACAGACATTATTTTGTAGTAGGGTATGTGGATGAATCGAGGGGTAGAAAGAGAAATCTCTCAAGGGGAAATTATAAAATCTGCAAAAAGGAAACCTCTTATTAGTATCAAATATAAGAATTAGGAAAATTTTGGTCTGGGTCAAGTGTAAAGTGCCTGTCTAGCAAGAGTGAGTCCTGAGTTCAAACCCCAGTACTGCTAAACAGTAACAACAAAAACCCACAAAGAATTAGAAAATGTTATTAATTATAAGTATGTAAGACTCTAGGAAGGACAGATGAGCATAATGCAAATATCATGAAAGTAGGGTAAAGGAATTAAAGGAGAAATGACCACACACTTTTGTAATCGGATGTGTATTTTGTGGTCTGTGTCTTTTAATGACGTTGGGAAGCTGGATATCCAAAAGATGGAAAAACAGCAAAAAACCACATTGATGTCTTCAAGAAGATAAACAGAAAAGACTGCAAGGAATATTCTTAATGGGGAAGGAAAGAATAGAGGTAGGAATAGACCATAGTTATTAAAATTCAGTAAGTTGCACTATTGCAGATTCTTAGATTTCAGTTATAAGGAAAAAAGAGAGCATTTATTCATTCATTGAATGATTTAAC